CAAGGGGAGCGACCCCGGCAAGGCGTAAGGTGGTCTGATGGACGCTCGCAGGTGGACATCTGGAAAGAAATCTGCTGACCCAAGAGGCCCAGCGGCCAAGGCCCCGGCCAGCAGGGGAGGGGTCAGCCCCAGGGCTACCCGTGTCCCAGCTAGCAGGGAAGGCAGCCCCTCCAGTGGGCACACGTGCAAATCCGTTCCCGTAAAAGATAAGAGGCAAGGCCTCCTTCATGGTGAGCAATCGAAACACTGCAGCTGGGACCTGCTGGGCCTGGTTCAGCCTTCGTGTTCCATCCAGAGCTGGGCTGGCTCCCGGTTCAGTCTGCAGGGAGCCAAACACGCTCCTCATGGTTTAGGGAACTGGTGCAGTTGAGACCCTGAGCGGGCCGTAGAGCTAGGGACACCAGGGACCCTGCCTCTGGGGACAGTGATCTTAACAGGGTGGTCATTACAGGTGGAGCCTTTGTAACGGCAGATGAAAATTTATAAATTCAGTTCTGGGACGTTGGAAAGGGGGCAAGTCATGACGACGTGACAGCCAGAGGGGAGCACGTTGATTGGCTGCAAACAAAAATATAGTAAGCTTAGAAAAAAAAAAATGTACAGAAGCTTGATGAAAACAGCACGACTGTGGAACCTTGGGCAGCCAGCCGGAGGTCCGACGACACAGGTGGGAGGGGGTGCCCACCTCCAGCGGTGCGGGCACCCACGTGCTCTAAGTCCCCACCCATCAGACCCCGTGCTGAGTCCCCGCCCATTAGACACCGTGCCCTGAGCCCCACCCATCAGACCGCGTGCCCTGAGCCCCACCCATCAGACCGCGTGCCCTGAGTCCCCACCCATCAGACCGCGTGCCCTGAGTCCCCGCCCATCAGATCTCATGCCGAGTTATCCTAAGCAGTTCTCCCGGCAGTCTAGCGGAGCAGCCATTGTCGTCACCACTTTACAGAGGAGGATGCTAAGGCCAGATGGTTAAGGTTAGGTGGCCAAGGTGATACATCTGGGAGCTGGAGTAAAGGCCCCTCGGCTCCCAGGTCCGTTAGCGGCACCGCACTGCGTCCTGAACAAAGCAGAGACGCGGGCAGGCGTGGCCGCACAGAACCTCGGAAGGGTTCGCCTGCATCTCGCAGGCCTTCCTGCCAGCCGAGAGGAGAAGCGTCCAGAGCTCAGGGCCTGTCTGCCCTCCTTCCCTGCTCCAGGTGGGAGTGGGGCTGCTGTGAAGACCCGGGCCCAGAGGGTCTCCTGGGCCCGTTTTCTGCTGGTGGTCACTCGCCGTATGGTGGAGAGAGGAGGAGACCCTGCTGGTCACTCCTAGGGGGCCTGTCCAACAAGCCGTGGAGGATGGCCGAGCGCGGTCCCTGAGGCCAAGGCCCGCGCACATTCGGTCCAGTTCAGCCGCTCAGGCCTGTCCGACTCTGCGGCCCCGTGAACCGCAGCACGCCAGGCCTCCCCGTCCATCACCAACTCCCGGAGTTTACTCAGACTCATGTCCATCGAGCCGGTGACGCCATCCAGCCATCTCATCCTCTGTCGTCCCCTTCTCCTCCTGCCCCCAATCCCTCCCAGCATCAGGGTCTTTTCCAGTGAGTCAGCTCTTCACATCAGGTGGCCAGAGTATTGGAGTTTCAGCTTCAGCATCAGTCCTTCCAATGAATACTCAGGACTGATCTCCCCTAGGATGGACTGGTTGGATCTACTTGCAGTCCAAGGGACTCTCAAGAGTCTTCTCCAACACCACAGTTCAAAAGCATCAAGTTTTCAGCGCTCAGCTTCCTTCACAGTCCAACTCTCACATCCATACATGACTGCTGGAAAAACCATAGCCTTGACTAGACGGACCTTTGTTGGTAAAGTAATGTCTCTGCTTTTTAATATGCTATCTAGGTTGGTAATAACTTTCCTTCCAATGAGTATCTTTTAATTTCATGATAATTTCATGGTAATTTTAATCACCATCTGCAGTGATTTTGGAACCCCCAAAAATAAAGTCTGACACTGCTTCCACTGTTTCCCCATCTATTTCCCATGAAGTGATGGGACCAGATGCCATGATCTTAGTTTTCTGAATGTTGAGCTTTAAGCCAACTTTTTCACTCTCCTCTTTCACTTTCATCAAGAGGCTTTTTAGTTCCTCTTCACTCTCTGCCATAAGGGTGGTGTCATCTGCATATCCGAGGTTATTGATATTTCTCCCGGCAATCTTGATTCCAGCTTGTGCTTCTTTCAGCCTAGCGTTTCTCATGATGTACTCTGCAAAGAAGTTAAATAAGCAGGGTGACAATATACAGCCTTGACGTACTCCTTTTCTTATTTGGAACCAATCTGTTGTTCCGTGTCCAGTTCTAACTGTTGCTTCCTAACCTGCATGTAGGTTTCTCAACATTTGGTTGGAGGCGATAAACTGTGCACGAGAAACTGGCTTCTCTCATCATGCCCTGCAGGCTGAACACCTTACCCCTTTAGTGTATTGCTGCTTTTAAAATAAGACCATTGTTCGGCTTTAGGCAGGAAATCTCTCTGCTACAACACTGCAAGCCCCCAAGAATGATGATGTCAGACAAGCAACCGAGAGCTCCTTGCGGTGATGCAATGGCGAGCGTAGGATTCAAAACGGGAGGGAAAGCTTGAACTCCCGGGAGGCTGGAGCCCAGGGCCGCCTTGACCGAGTGGAGGAGCCAGGGGAGCCGGGAGGACGTGGACGGATTTGCTGAGGACGTTATTGACGAGCAGAGTGCGGATCCCCGGCCCTCACGGGACGTCAGACCTGACAATGGAAAAGACAGAGGAGCTGGTGGGGATTGGCCTCCAGCTGACCTGCCAACTTCTGCAAAGAGACGGACGGCTGCAAGCAGAAGGTGCGGGACCGAGGGGAGGAGGAAGCAGAGAGCAAATGTGGATGGCGCCCGTGGTGAGGCGCGGGGTCCTCTCCGCCCCACCGCGCCTACAGAGCCCCTCAGAGAGGAGCCAGGCGCTGGGTTCCAGTGGGGACGGGCTGAAGCCGGGCCGCTCAGCGTGGGGTGGGCTGCGGCTTCACACCCTTGCTCTGGGCTGCTCGTTAGTGCGGCCAAGCGAGCCACACCCGGAGGGAGACGCGACACCACCTCCCGCAGCCCCCGACCCCCGGTGACGTGGAGGCCGTGGAGGGAAAGCAGAAGGAACATGGCCTTCTCCGACTTTGCTGGGTCTGATCAGTGTCCAGTAAGTACTTTCTTTGAAAAATGACTTTCCCCAGCAGGTTGTTTTGAAAGTGAAAGTGGCTCAGTCATGTCCGATTTTTTGTGATCCCATGGGCTGTAGCCTGCCAGGCTCCTCTGTCCATGGGATTCTCCAGGCAAGAATACTGGAGTGGGTAGTCCCTTTTCTAGGGGATCCGAGAAAATATCCCTTTTCTAGGGGATTTTCCCAACCCAGGGATCAAACCCAGGTCTCCCATGTTACAGGCAGGTTCTTTACCAATGAGCCACAAGGGAAGCCCAAGAATACTGGAGTGGGGAGCCTTTTCCTTCTCCAGGGGATCTTCCCAACCCAGGGACTGAACCCCTGTCTTGTACTGCAGGCAGATTCTTTACCAGCTGAGCCACAGGGAAGCCAGATTGTTCTGGACCATTAGAATTTTAACAAAAATTGAGTGCTCTCCGAGTCCTATTCTAACTGTGTGGCTGTGAGTTATGCACCTGAAGTGTCCGATCTTCCCAGGAGGTAAACACTGCCTTCTCCCTGCTGAGATGTGGACACAAGGCCCCTGGAGACACGGGGTCAGTCGGGACCTTGGCTTCTGGTGGCAGAGCTCGCAGTGGACATTGGGTCCAGTCTCAGAAGGTGGGGCACTTCCTCCTTATTTCCATAAATATGAAATAAGAAGAAATAAGAAAACATATCTCATTTGTCTTGTGCACATGACATTATTGCTTTTATAAAACATAGTCTGAAAAATCACCGCAGATGTCATCAGCCATCCGTAACCAGGAACGTTTCAGTGACTCTCCTTGAAGACGTCTGTCTGCTGCATTCATTTCAAGGTGAGCTTGTCAATACACAGGTTTTTCCTACTTGGAAACCAGTCACGACACATCTCATTGACCGGGAAGTGTCTGGCTCTTTGGTCTTCAGGTCTGCCCAGTGGGGTGGGCCTGGGGTTTCCGTGAGGGGAATGGCCTCCCTGGCTGCAGGGAGCCTCACCACCGTGTCTGCCCCCCGCCCCCTGGGGCTAGGCTGCTGCAAACATCTGTGGGCTCTGGCCAGCTTCCGAGAGGGGGTGTGAGCTCTGCCTCTGGAGGCAGGATTCCGGGACAGGGCCTGGAGGACGACAACCACATGCACCCTCATCTGCCTTGACTGGGGATTTCCCTCCAGCCAGGCCCTCCCGGAAGCACTTTATTAAAAACGCCAGAAGGCGACATGATGGTCCATTTTCCGTCCGAGGAAACGGAGTCACTTGGGTGGGAACACAGCTGAGAAGGGCCAGGGTCGGCCCTCAGGCCTCTGGAACTTGGAGCCTGTCCTCTGCGTCTCTTCACTGTCTGCCTGAGTCATGGCTCCATTGCTAGGAGAGGCTTTGTGTGGGAGAAGTCTACAGGACAGCGCGGTTTGGGGGTAGGAGGAGTTAGACTCAGCAGACACACACACACAGGTGTGCCCACACCTCGCACCAGCACGGGGCCTCACAGAGGAGCCTGTGAGTGAGCAGCCTGTGCTGGCCGGGACTCTGAGCCCGGCGCCCGACTGGTTTAGGAGCCAGCACCGGCTGTGAAGGCGCCTTTGTTTTCCTTATTGTGCAAAAGGTGTTCTGATTAAAATATGTTTTTCTGAGTCAGACGAGGGAGGTAAACTGTTGGCTATGAAATGGGATTTGTGAAATCCCAGTGGAAGAGACCATAAAGTGACTTTAACGTTTATTTACGAATGGTTTCGTGATCTGAAGGAGAACGGACTAAGCCATAGTCACTTAGAGAATTTCTCTGGCAGGTTTGTAAATGCGATGTTCAAGGAAGTCAGAAAAATAAATGATGAGACAGCTGCTTGGGAGCTTGTATCAGTCAGAAAAATGGGTCACGCTGCATAACAAACAAACCCCTGGATCTCCTAATGCAACGAAAGCTGATCTCTTATGCAAGTGCAGGCTGGCTGGCTCACAGAGTGGCTCTCTTCCCAAGGATGAGCAGGGGTCCTGGCCGTTTCCCCTGTGGGCCCGCCAGGGAGTTGTCAGGTTTCAAGGCTGCCACCATGAGGAAGTGAGGGCGGGTGGGGTGCTTTTAAGACCATATTCCGATGCCAAAATCAGAGGTTCGGAACCACTTCAAGAAGGACAAGCTTTCACATTTGATTAAGGCACCTTGAAGAAATGTGAAGGTTGGCTCTTCTCTCACCAGTATATGAACATATTTGGGCCTAACAGGCCCAGAACTGTGGAAGTGGAATGGAAGTCCATGATGAAAAGGAGCTGTTGTAAGACCTGGAGCTCACCCGAATTCAGAGCAGTCTCACCTGGAATCACCGCTAGTGACCTCTTCACAGACTCTTCCCAAATAATGCCACCATCATGGATTCCTTGTGGATGGATGTTGGAAGGGACCAGGATCCTGCCTACGATGATGACCATCTGCAAAGAGCAAACATCTTGTCCTTCATGCCTCAGACATTTTTTATGAAACAACCAAGTATCACCAAGGAAACGGTGGAATTCTTTGGGTTCCTTCTGGGCCCTACTTCTCCACATCCTTGTTGCCCTCATCCCCTCACTCCTTGGAGGACACAGCTCTGATTAACTCGATGTGGTCCCTTGTGGGTCATGTGTTTATATTCTTATTACACTTCTGTTTTCCATAATGAAAGCATAGGATTGTATTATGTGTTTCTAAAATTTACATAAGTGGCATCCCATTGTGTACATTGTTTAGGATATTCAACATTTTGTTTTCAAGAGCTGTTCAAGGCATAAACTTAATTGTTCCTTTTAATAAATATTTTGTATTCCATTATATTGGCTCCTGGTGTTGGAAATTTAGACTGTCTTCAAATTCTTTTCTTACAAACTAGTTAGTGAATGATTGTCATGGTTCCTCAGAGAAATGGGACCAATTGTGCGTGTGTATATATAAAGTAATTATCTATGTCTCTATACATGTAGATATAGAACCCACTCTCTTTATATATATTTAATGTATATAAACACACATTTTTATATGAAATGGTTGTGATATATACAATTACAACAATTCTCAGAAAGCTCAGCTCAGCTCAACTTTGAAGCCTCAGCTCAACAAGGATCACTTGTATTTTATAGGCTCAACTCCCCCAGAGCAATAGTCCTCTCGCTTAAAAAATCCACTCGCAGGAACTCTTCCACCCACGGGCCCCCGAGTGGTCACCGAGGTCCTCTGTGTCCCCGCCTGCAGCATCCGTCTCCTCTGTCATCCTCAGGACCTCTCAGCTCTGGTTTCCCACCCCGCTGCTGACACGGGGGCTGAGGAGTCCACACCTGGGGGCGGGGGGCTCCTGACTTTGGCGGCTGTTCAGCAGCCTCCCTGGCGTCTCCCCGCTCCATTCTCCCCCTCCCCCAGTTGTGAAAATCACAGCTGTTTTCATTCCTTGCCAAATGTCCCATAAGGGCAAAACTGCCCCAAACTGAGAACCAGTGACTTAATTAAAACCCCGCAGTAAAGTCGCCATGGCAGATGCTCTCAGAGAAAACCCAGCCCGCCCGCTCTGCCTGCAGGTACCCGGCGGAAAGGAGGGAAGGATGTGCAACCTGATTCTCTCCAAGGTTGCCCTCGAGGTCTAGGTTCTGAGTTTATTTCTCTTCTGGCTACACTCAGGAGGGATAATTTCGTGAGTAAAAACGATATGGTCAAGACAAATTGAGAGCAAATAGAGAAAGAATCTGTCTTTTATTTCTATGGCAGGAAATGATAGGAACCTGAAAGGGAGTTTGCTTAAATTTTTGTCTCCCTAATTTAATTTTCTCTGTTGTTTTCCCAGTGGGGACCAGGCTTCCAGATGTTACTGCTGCCTTTTGAAGTGTAGGGGGCTCCGGACAATGAAGAGCCATAAGCATGAGTCTTCCCTTAGCCACAGGTCAGATGTACGTCAATCACCACCACCTAAGACACAGGGAAGAAGCTGGAAGAAGCAGATATGTTTTCCAAAGAAAACGCAGATTGTGAGGTCCGTTCACAGGCTATTTTGACCCTAACTCAAGGGAAAGTTTTCCCCACAGCCGGACTCTCAGTTAAGCACATTTTAGAGAGTCTGACCGCTGACTTTTCCTGCAGTAGACTAGGAAAGAGTGGGCGTCACATAAAAGTGTCCTGAAAGCAGAGAAAATGGTTGTTACCCCCTGATGGGAGAAGACAGAATAACAAACAGGAGCAATAAAAACCATCTCACGACCCCCAAACCTTAGGGGCTCGAGGTTAGCTAATATGCAGCATAAACTGCACAAACACTTCATTTGTCCCCTCTCCCACTGTGAGTAATGTTACAGTGCTCACAGCGCTGGAGGTTTATGGGCGATGCTGAGTCTTTATCAAAGCAAGTTTCTATTAGTTCACGATAGTCCTACGGGCAGGGGTGATGGTCACACAAGCGTGTGAACGCATTTACCACCACTGGACTGCACACTTAGACGTGAGGAGCGTGGTAAATGTTACTCTGTGTACGTCACTGTCGTTTAAAAAATCAGGTATTAGGAGGACTGAGAAGTTTGTAATATATTTTGGAAAGAAATATAACCAAAACATGTGTGATTCAGAATGAAACTGTGCTGCCCAGAAGGATAAGCAGGCTCTCTCCTCGTGAGCCACCAGGGGCAGTGTCTCCTTCATCCCAGAGGCTTGATGCTCATGATGTCACTGGAATTTGTTCAAAATCAGCAAGCGAAAAAAGAGCACACAGCAAGCAATCAGGTCTTAATAGAATCAGATGTCATGATTTGGGGACTGGCTTTTTTTTTTTAACTCTGACAATGAAATATGACTGCAAATCTTGTGGTCTGATAATACAACTTAAAAAACCTATGCTGGATGACTGGGCCCATTTCTGCGGCTCCTCTGACGAGCATGGGCTTCAGGATTCCACTGCCGCGCATCGGGGTGAAGGATGAATAGGTGGACTGTCTGCCTTGACGACGGTGAGCAGACTCCTGCCGGCCAGCGCTGAACACAGCGACCCTCACAGGCCCCTCACTGATCTCCCCGGGCCCTTGGGAGTGGCGGCTTCTACTCAGAGATGCTCCCACTCGCGGTCATCTGTCGCCCTGATGACTGCGGGCGTCGTCAGGACTCACTCATGCTGAGTGAGTTAAGGACTCAAGTGCCAAGACCACGCCAGGGACCTTCTGAGGAGTTTTGTCCCGTCAGATGAGCAGGTCGGAGGGGCGCTGCCTGCTTCCTGCTGCCTGGTCCTGCTGTGCGTTTTGCTTGATGTTTTTGCTCTTCCACGTTCAAAGGGGAGGAATCCTGAAAGCACAGAATATTGACCAAGATGGTGCAGAGTCTGGGGACTCAGCTGACTTGTGTTGACCACTGGCCCTCCCGTAATTGTTTTTTTTTAAGGCGGGGAGCTGCAAACCTTTTTTTTTTTTTTTTTTGAGAAACTGAGATTTAAAGTTTGGGGTTGAATTCTAATTTGTTTTTTTGTGTTTTTGGTTTTTTTTGTTTAGTGAGAAATTTATTGCTCTGTAAGTGACTTTTTAAAGTTATTTCTGTTTTGTGGGCTGCACTGGGTCTTCATTGCTTTCCTGTAGTCACGGCAAGTGAGAGCTTCCCCCATTGAGGTGCACGGGCTTCTGCCTGTGGTGGCCCCTCTTGTTGCGGAGCGCGGGCTCTAGGCACTCGGGGTCCAGTAGTTGTGAGATGGGGCTGGGTCGCTCCGCAGCCTGTGGGATCTTCCCGGACCAGCGCTCAGTGCATCCCCTGTACTGGCAGGCAGACTGTTATCCACTGTGCCGCCAGGGGAGTCCCTCCAAATGATTTAAATAGGTACTGTTTCATGGGGGCAAGTAGATTCATTCAGAACTCTTCCTTCCCATCACATGTGGCTCTCAAAGTCTGGTCCTCAGTCAGGACCAGGGGAGGAACTGGCACAGCTGGAGGCATCCTCTGCTCAGCAGAAACAGAATTAGCCCACAAGTCCGAAAAACTCAGCCGTCGGTCCACGTGGGGGCTCTGGGCGGCCAGCGGGGATGGAATTCTCTGAGGAAAGAAAGGATTTTTCTGAATCATTTCCTCAGGAGGGAAATAACCACCCAATTTTAGCCTCAAGCTTTCAAGTTAGTTCTCCAAATCTCTGGAGGTTTTTCAGATCCAGTTCTGAAGGTTTTCATAAAAGCAAAATGGCCCTGAAATCTCCTGTCCAAGTGCAGGGCCCCTCGCTGAATGGATGGGGTGCGATGCGGCTTTCCGAGAGCTTGTTTGGATTTCAGGAAGTGAACGAGATAAGCTGGATGGCCTTTTCCTGCTCTGACTCTGAAAAAAAAGAGTCTCGCCCAAAAACGCTTGAAAGAGACCACTGACATTTCCTAACTTCAAAAGAACAAGAATCTGACTGGGGAGGAAAGAAAATCACAATTAGACGCCCAGGATGCCGCAAAGACACAGCAAGTGGTAACGCCAACGGGGATAGATCTAGAATAAACACGCGATGCTCCAGAGCGTGCCTTTATTTGCATCTTGTTTTGTTTTTGTATGAACTTCCCCGCTAAAAGGGTGACACGGGAACGCACTTGTCCGGTCTGAAATGTTCCCCTTTCCCCTCCTCTTTGCTTCTTGCTTTGCATTTCACTCTCAGGGGAGGTAATCTTGGTGGGGTGTGTGTGTGTGTGTTTGCTGGAGGTTGTTTCAGGGAAGTTCTATGTTGGTGAATGAGGCGGTTTAGGGCTGAACTTCGTTTCTGTTATTTTTGTGAAGAGATGGAAAGGCAGCATGATGCCCTGATCGTCACATGACATCCTTCAACATGGGCGGAATTTCCAGGGAAGCCCACCCCAGCCACCCCTGGGCAGCTCGGGCTGGACTTTACACCCTGAGAAGATGTAGTTATTTCAGACACCCCTCTTCACGCTGCCTTGAGACACAGCAAGAGCAGAGGAGCAGCAACCAGCCTCTATTTGAGAGCAGGAGAGAAGAGCCAACCTCTGCCAGGCCTGGGGCGAGACCCACGGCGTCCCAGAGCCCTGGGCCAACAAGCTCCAGCGTGGCCCATGAGATGACAGGTGACCCGTTCTCTCTGCTCTCTTCCCTGCCGTGGAAAGGCGTGACTCCAGTGCAAGGCGTGGGCCTTGTTCTCAGAGTCAACGTTCACAAGCGATGTGAAGAGATGCAAAACTCCC